ACGAAACACCAAAAAAATGATAATGTGGGGAGACTGAAACCAGTTCATGAGGAGAAGTAAAATGTCAGCAGAAACAGCTTTGGAAATGTGTCATTATCTCGTTCACTTTTTCCTCATCACATGGGCCCACTTTGTTTTGGGGGGGTTTGAGTTGCAAGCAAAGGAAAAAAAAACAAAAAAAAAACCAGCCTGCAACTCACAGTAACGAAATAACAGCACGTATCACTGTAATGACACAGTCCACGGTGTAGGTTTTGCACAGTAAGAAATACACTTTCATTCTTATTGCCTTTTTTTTTTTTGCCTTTTTTTTTTTAATTATATGGATTATAAAAAAACGGTTTAAAAATCCCTGCTCATATCCTGATAGGCTAACAACAACTGCCTCAGCCGCCATTGGTTGGACTATTGTTGGAGAAGAGGACAGCATGTAAAGAGGAAGTCGGAGCAAGCAAAATGAGGGTGTTTTAACGTAGGGTCGGTGACTGATAAAAGTAGGTAGGTTGGTTGGTTGACAAGACGAAGACAAAAAAAAAGGGTAGAGACCAGAAGAAACGGAAGCTTCCAGGAACATTTGGAGGTTTCTATTTAACCTGGATGTAGATTGATGAGGACAGATTGAGGACAGTTTTACAAAGTCGCAGACGGAGTCGCGAGCGCCGAGCTATAAGTTGAGGATGTGATTCTGAATGTGGTCAGTTGGAAACGAGAGAGGCGTTTTGGAGCAAGCTAAACAAAATGCTAGAGGGTGTGTGCGCCCCGGGGGGGGGGCAGAGATTAGCGGCGAGGGCAGACCCTGATTGGACAAGTAGATGAAGGGAAAGGAGGTGTTCACGAGATGCCGGATAGATATGGCAAGACACAAAAGGAGAAGACGGTTGTAGAATTTGGAAAGGGGACAAAATGTCTGTAAATATTTATTCCAGGAAGAGGGAGGAGCCTCATCTTGAGGAAATGTAATCGAAAAGAGATCGGAGATTATACAGCGGGGCAGATGAGAGTGTAGCTTAGGTGGTAGAAATTGGATGGTTGGGTATGGGGGTAGAGGTAAAGGCCAGTCGTCAATCTCGATGTGAGAAATCATGGCTTGTTATGTTAGCATATTTCTAACTGTGTTTCTATTACGCGATGATTGAGAAATTTGCCTCGTATGTGCTTTAAAAATAAGATCCTGATCCAACATTTTTCTTTAGTGTGAAACTAGTGGTCAAGATGATCATTATCTTATGCAATAGTAGTTTCAGATCTTAGATGTTTGGGGCCGGCCTGGGCGATGTTACTAATTACATAAGTTTTATTTAAGAATATAAAAGTAGAATTTTTTTTTTTTTTTTAGGTCATCCAGTTCTTTAAGTATCGTTGCGTGGACCTTAGTCAATAATTCCATTGATCGCACGAGAAATGAAAATGAAATCAGCAATTTTTATGGCCTCAATAAATTGCCATGCCACGTGTTCTTGTCAAACAGACTGGATGACAAGAGGGTCAACTCTCATGTCAGTCATCCATTCTTTGGCGGAAGAGGTGGAGCCAAGCTCACAGACCAACAACAACAATAATAGGCAACACAACTAACTTGCATGTCAACATAGAACATAATCACTCACCTCAGTTTTCCGAGCTCAGGAAAAAAATGCACGTGGAGTGGCAGAACCTTCATCCTGACAGTCAACAGAAATTGTAGTTTGCTACGTCGCAAAAGCTATAGATATATATACACACTCACACACACAGCGGCGCGTCTTTAACAAGGGGACTTAAATAAAAAAAAAAATACTCATGAGAAAATAAATGTCTCAAAATAATGGTTAAAATATTATCGTTCATTTGTGGGACAATATATCGTCCGGCCAAATTTGTTATTGTCACAGACCTATAGTTGTGTATCATCTGCATAGCAAGGGAAGTTCATGTTACGTTGTGCTTTCTAATAATGGGAGGGTCGTCTGTTTCTCGGTCAGTGAGGGTCAACGCAACATGTTGTCCTCTTTGCTCTCCGTCTGGCTACGGGAGTGTGTTCACGTATTTGTTTGTCTTGGGAGGAGCTCCACCCGTTGTAAAACAGAACAGAGGAAAAGCAACTCAGTCGGCGTACAAGAATAGCGTTTCCCCAACCGTTGCTGTCCGTTGACGTGACTTTGTGTGAAGTTTAACTCAGTGTTGTAATCTTCAATATATTTTTTTTTTTTTTCTACAGGAGAGAATGCTAAGTCAGAGTGGCGTGAACTCCAGGAGCAGAGATGTGTTTGGACTACATTGCCTTCCAGGTAAGACATTTCTGTTCCTAGCAAGCTCAACGTCTTAGTTAGCGGTACGTCATATTTGGTTTTTGGTTTTATTGGCAAAATTTAAATATGGTTGTAAACGGTACTGGATTGTTTCCTTTTGTACCAAACTGTTATGTCAACACCAAGGTACTTACAGAACTGTATATATTAGGCCGGCATGATATGAGCAAATTGTGCGTTGTGCGATGACATTCTTCAATATTGCGATGACAACATGACAATATGACTTGCGATATATATATGTGTGCATATATATATATATATGTGTGTATATATATATATATGTGTGTATATATATAT